AACTTGTTTTATGAAACAGGCCTCGAGGCATTAAAAGTGATCATATTTTCTCAATTGCATCGAATCGCATTCTGTTAAATTGAATCGGATCGCACTGCATCGTAACAGGGGTGAATCGTATCGCATCGCATCGGTAGCTGCTTCATATGTATCTTTAATGTATCGTATCGTTGGCTATGCATCGAGATGCGTCGAGGCACATCCCTACTGAAGTGACTATAAGTTTTCAAAATACAGCTTGCATGTATCTACCTCTATCCATCTTTTGACATTTGCACTGGCAAACTCTTTAACTCAATTTGTCATTTTAAGTTTTGGATTTTGAACTAAAGTTTATACGTTATTGAAAATTAAACGTAAAGTAATACGTTGTCTTGACTACTTCTGAGTTTTGTCTGGCTTGTAAAAGTTCATTTAACTCATGTCTGTAATGCCGAGTTCACACTGCACGATTTTAGCCCGATTTTTCACTCGCCGACAGGTTATGCGAAATCGCCGACAAATGCCCGAAATCGGAGGCAAATCGGTTTCGGCTCGTTCACGCGAGTGACAGTCACACAGTGTGAATTACCGTATTGGCCCGAATATAAGACGACCCTGATTATAAGACGACCCCCCTTTTTCCAGATGTACCTTTTGGAAAAAGGCTCCACAACATCAGCATAACAGTTACTGCAAAATTATTTACCTCCAACTCTCTTTGCAGAACACCCAATCCCTGTTCCCTGCATCTCCCTCCTGCATAATCTGTTTTTCTTTTTTGTCCTTGTAGCTGGAAATCAGCTCACAGACGGTTTGCGGGCTATATATATATTTTATAATTCCAGTCTTGCTCGAGAACTCCAGTCTGACGCACGCGGGTTCTCGCGTTATTTCCTTATAACTTCTCGCGTGTGTTTTGTTGTGAAACGTAGTTTGCGGACCAGACAGAGTTGTCGGCGATTCTTCCTAATGTAAAGTCATGCAGTGTGTAACCTCCTGTCGCCGATCCATCGTGCAGTGTGAACACAGCAGCGACTGACTGCTACCTCAGATAGTCGTGCAGTGTGAAAACCCCGGTGACCCGACGACTTTGAAAATCGTGCAGTGTGAACTCGGCATTAGTTATATGTTGGGGTAGGGGCGATACACGGAAACCGCGAAATATAGAGAGAAGTCATCGCCATTTTGAGTTAATGCAGCTGCCTGGAGACCTTACATGAATTTGTGTCGAGAAACACAAAGAATGTGAGGAAGGTGAGTTTTTGTTTTTTTATTTGTAATGATAAATGAATAATGTTGCGATTTATTGCGTGTTAGCAAATTTGACCGTGCTTCGCGAATGTAATACGACACCACGAGTTTTTCGCTCGTTAATTCACTGTTTTCCAGAGCCTCAAACGCTAAAATAGTGATATCACTTCGGTTCACAGTGCTTATATTTTAGTTGGTCTTCGGCCTGAAGTCTGCAGTTATTATTATTTATTGCATTGACCGTGCTCCGCGACCCTCGCTAATTTTACAGTTTACTAGAGCCTCAAATGCAAAAATAGCTTAATATTTCACTTCGGTTTTCAATGCTTATATTTTAGTTGGTTACTTTTAAACGTTTCTGACAGCTGTTTGTCTACTAATTTTTGTATAGTACAATTTCATATGCTTAGTCTATATTGCTTCTACTGATATGCTAACGTTACTGCTTTTTCACTCAATTACAGCTGTTGATTCCTTCTCAAAGTTATTGTCACCTCAAGATATAAGGTTGTCACCCTACAGAGTTTTCAAGAAGCTGGTTTTAAGGACATTCATGTTACAATGAGGTACAGTAAACACATCCTTACTGATATTAAAATCTTTTGCTGTTTAACTTGTTTATTTGTTGCAGGCCTAATGCAATCACACAACATATTTAATGCAGACCATGCAGTTCTTTTTGTACAATTCCGTAGGCTTAGTCTATATTGCTTCTACTGATATGCTACTGCTTTTTTTCACTCAGTTACAGCTGTTGATTCCTCTTCAAAGTTATTGTCACCTCAAGATATAAAGTGTCACCCTACAGAGTTTTCAAGAAGCTGTGTGAAGGACATTCATTTTACAATAAGGTACAGTAAACATATCCTTACTGATATTAAAATCTTTTGTTGTTTAACTATAGCCTATTTGTTGCAGGCCTAATGCAATAACACAACATATTTAATACAGACCATGTAGTTCTTTTAGTACAATTTCATGGGCTTAGCCTATATTGCTGGTACTGATACCTGTACTTTTCTTTTTTACACAGTTACAGCTGTTGATTCCTCTTCAAAGTTATTGTCACCTCCAGATATAAGGTGTCCCCCTACAGAGTTTTCCTGAGTCAGTCAAACTGTGTGAAGGACATTCATTTTACAATAAGGTAATTGTGAACTTGCTCATTTAAAAAAAAAAAATGATTCTTGATTTTATTACTTGTGTCATGACCTCTTTATGTGACCTCTTTAGTCATTAATGTTATAAGATGGCATGTGATTTACATATGTGATTATTTTTCATCTGTTCTTGCTACCCACCACTAGTCTCCGTGGCTCCATTTTTCCTCTTGTCTTATGTGTCTGTTTCAGATAAGCACAGAGTTCAATAGAGTAGTCACCACCGATCAACTGCAGTCATTCTTGGATGGACTAGATGCCTTGGTGTCTTTTAGAGCTGTACAAAGCAGCTGTATCATCAAGCAGGAGGTTGAGCCTTAGCAGTGTTATACAGTGCCTTGATAAGGAGGTATGAATAAAAATGAACTCAATTTGATCAATTTGCACTAATATAAGTGTTCTAATTTATATATTGGAGTCACTCAGTCTTGTTTATAATTGTATGTAGGACACAAATCGGAACAGAAGAAAAGCTGCCTTACTTGGCCTTCCACGCTTCCTTTGAGAGGATACTTCAGAGATAATCAAGATGTGTGATGTAAGAAAATATGTTTACACATTGTTAATGTACTGATGATACTAAATTCATTGTAGAGCAGTATGTATAGGGAAAAAGTCAATCTGCTTAACTATTACAATATATTTATTATTATTATTATTATTTTATCCCAGAATCAGTAATAATTTATTCTAAAATGCTTTTTTGACTGTCAGTCAATCTAAGTACTATACTATATATCGTGCCTAAACATGTCATCAATAATATCATATACAAATATAAAGTACAAATGTAACAAAAGAAAAAAAAACAATGGTCAACTCATTTAATATTTTCTTTATCTGAAATCTCAAATGCTGAATGTTGGTCACGTGTTTACTATAAGGAAAAACCTTTGAGCATTCATTAGAAATAGACAAATTTCACATGCTTGTTCTTATTGCTTTTAGTAAGAGTTTACTACATGAGTATTGTTCAACACAGTCAATGACCATGTATTGTGCAAATCATTCAAAGGTCAAAAAGTTACATGTACTTGTTTATATAGAGTACACTTTACAATCTTTAAAGTAATTGATGAGCCGTTATTTTGTATCATTACACATGGCCTGCCACTCCTCATTTTTCCCCAATTCATGCCGTTTTCTTTCCCCTTCAGTTACGTTTTCTTTACCTCTTTTATACCACTCATCTACCTTTCTTCTAGTTCTGTATAATATTAGAGAAACTTCGATGTTTTGATGAAATGGATGTTTAAGCACTTGTGTTCTTAAATGGCTTTTTAAAACCTGTTTTCCTAACAAGAATTTGTATTCTCAAACCAATGTTAAAGCTTGTACAACATTGCTTGAATTTATTTCAATAATATTTTTATATTTTTTGAGCAGACCAGTTACAAGTCTATTTATTATGAGCTGATTTGAGTTTTCTTGAACTGATAATGTAAGATAGTAAGTTGTTTTAACTCAGAGCATCGAGTTGAAACAACAAATGACCATTAGTTTAATAAATTGTAAAACGTAACTTCTTGAGTTGAAACAAAGAGTATCTTTAAGTTGAGTTAACTTTCGTTTTTTTAAATATAAACAATGGTGGCTGTCATAAAAGCTTGATGGATTTATTCAAACAAATTAAACATTGAAGAACAGTAAAATTTATAATGAATATGTTATTTGGTGCATATATTTAGCAAAATGCCCCTCTCTACAGTTTATTTTTCTGTCTGACTAATGAGTTTATGGTCACTGAATATGTTTTTCTTTCTTAAATGTGACGTTATAAATGTGACGTTACGTGACATTGTTTACAAGCCATTATATTGACGTCTTTGTCCGGCTGAAACATTGATTGAGCGATTACATGAGACAGGATACGGATTGTAAAGTTGTACTCTTTCTTTTAACTTACCTTCGGATGTTTAGTCATGATTATTTTGTGCTGAAACTGGTATTAACGTGGAGGAGATGATCAGTTCACGTCTGTTGAACTGAGGCGCTACAGCGATCTGTCACTCCACATTAAACAGCCCCAAATGGCATTAATTGTTTGAATAATGCAATACAATGGACAGAATTTGAAATCTGAGACATGGTTTCATATTAAAAGTACCAACGCACAATGTTTATTGCGATATATTGGATGGGAAGTGCCCTTCAACATTCCGTCCATTAACTGAAAACAGGCTAGAATATTAGCCATTTATTAGTAGTAATTAAGCACATATTAATGCCTTATTCCACATGACCTTATTCTACATCCCTAATCCTACCCAATACCTAAACTTAACAACTACCTTACTAACTATTAAGTCTGTTGAACTGAGGCGCTACAGCGATCTGTCACTCCACATTAAACAGCCCCAAATGGCATTAATTGTTTGAATAATGCAATACAATGGACAGAATTTGAAATCTGAGACATGGTTTCATATTAAAAGTACCAACGCACAATGCTTATTGCGATATATTGGATGGGAAGTGCCTGCCCTTCAACCGTCCATTAACTGAAAACAGGCTAGAATATTAGCCATTTATTAGTAGTAATTAAGCACATATTAATGCCTTATTCTACATGACCTTATTCTACATCCCTAATCCTACCCAATACCTAAACTTAACAACTACCTTACTAACTATTAATAAGCAGCAAATTAGGAATTTATTGAGGGAAAAGTCATAGTTAATAGTGAATAAGTGTTCCCTATTCTAAAGTGTTACCGATTTATTTTTCAGAACATGGATCTGAAGCATAGGATATAAATGCTGCCTTAGAATTTAGCCAAAGGACAGTATTTTTAAGACATAATTGAGCCTTAGCACTGGGAGTAAGCATATGATGCCTAAAAAAAGCTGTCCAAGTTAAGCTGCTCGTTACATTTTGGAACACAACTTTTAACAATGTGCGAGGAAAAGAGAGAGGGTGTTTTCATAAGGTGTGAGAATATAGGTTATAAATGGAATACACACTTCTTGGCCCATCATAACCTTCACGTCTTGATGGACAACAGCTGAAAATCTCTCAGGAAGAAGAACAATAACACAGGGGAAGAGGTGTCAGCACTGGTTGTCCTCCGTCAACACTGTACAGTTTTATCAGAACGGAGAGCAGCTAATGCAGAATCCAAATACGGGACAGTCTATTTCTGTCAGCCACAGACCAAGGGTAGGAAATGCTCAGCTGGGTCAAGATGGAGACCCCATTCTTCTGAATGTGTTGAGCTGAAGGAAACCTGGAATAACCCGTGATGAAAACACTTCCTGAGAACATCTTCAGGGTCAAAGGAAATTTTAAAAAAAGTGTTTTTATGGACACTAACAGATCTAAATGATCCACAAAACTGAGGTAACACATGCAGTGTTCACATTACCAATACGACATTGTTCTAAAATCAGCGACGGTCAGGATATTTCATATGGTCAGTTATGCAATACCGCACATATGGTTCACTTAGGGACAGATATTTTTAGTTGGTCAACAGGGATGCTTATAATTTAGCAAAGTGGGTGGAGGGTGAGTAATGTGGAGTCGCTAAAACATGCCAAACGAGCAACATATTGACAGCATCGTAATTTCATGACCTCTAATTTATTGAGTTGATGACAATTCGTGCATGTCAGAAATGCTGAGGAAAAGGCAAACGGCATGTCCTCGATCTGGTGCGAATATAACGTGTCAATTACTTCAGCCGCACATTTCCCGCGAATGGCTCATACAGCTGGATCTGTCGTGCTCTTCGCTAGCGTGCTTCTCTGGGGAGATTTCCTCACTTGAGATGAATTTTTCTGTTTTCTTTTTTAAAACAGTATAAATTGAAAACACACTGACATTTTAACGGGTGAATTTTAGCCTGCAATATTTCGATCCTAACAACACAAACATGCAGCTGTCCTCAGAGAGTTGAGTGATGTTTCACTCTAAACATTTTGCTTTCAGTTTGTATTCCCAAACCAGAAATGGGGGAAACACTTTAGACATCCTCGGAACTTCCCAGCAGTGCTCAGAATATGGCAATGAATTTTACTCATGTGTAAAAAAAAAAAACGATAGGGTAGGTGTTAGCATGATCTTTAAAAAGGTCAACTGAGGTCTATTGGGATGTTTACTAGCTCCTTACAGCAGTTTTGTCCTGTAGGTGGAACTCAACCAGAACTTACCTGTTTGGTAGCAGTGAATTAATTGAACTAAAACACATTACAGTATCTGATGATGTTAGGATGTTGCTAAGTAGTTCCTATGGCGATCTGAGTGTTTTATGCATGTTTCTAAGTGGTTGCTATGATTTTCTGAGAGTTTTTTTATTTTTTATTATGTTGCTATGTTTTAGCATATTGTTATCTGGTTGCTATGGTGTCACGAGTGGTATTCTGTATTTTGTATTTGGTTGCCATGGTGCTTTGAGTGTTTTTAGCATGTTGCTATGTGGTTGCCATGTTGTTCTGAGTGTTTCTAACATGCACTAATTAATTCCTATGAGGGAAAAGTCATAGTTAATAGTGAATAAGTGTTCCCTATTCTAAAGTGTTACCGATTTATTCTTCAGAACATGGATCTGAAGCATAGGATTTATGCAATGCTGCCTTAGAATTTAGCCAAAGGACAGTATTTTTAAGACATAATTGAGCCTTAGCACTGGGAGTAAGCATATGATGCCTAAAAAAAGCTGTCCAAGTTAAGCTGCTCGTTACATTTTGGAACACAACTTTTAACAATGTGCGAGGAAAAGAGAGAGGGTGTTTTCATAAGGTGTGAGAATATAGGTTATAAATGGAATACACACTTCTTGGCCCATCATAACCTTCACGTCTTGTTGGACAACAGCTGAAAATCTCTCAGGAAGAAGAACAATAACACAGGGGAAGAGGTGTCAGCACTGGTTGTCCTCCGTCAACACTGTACAGTTTTATCAGAACGGAGAGCAGCTAATGCAGAATCCAAATACGGGACAGTCTATTTCTGTCAGCCACAGACCAAGGGTAGGAAATGCTCAGCTGGGTCAAGAAGGAGACCCCATTCTTCTGAATGTGTTGAGCTGAAGGAAACCTGGAATAACCCGTGATGAAAACACTTCCTGAGAACATCTTCAGGGTCAAAGGAAATTTAAAAAAAAGTGTTTTTATGGACACTAACAGATCTAAATGATCCACAAAACTGAGGTAACACATGCAGTGTTCACATTACCAATACGACATTGTTCTAAAATCAGCGACGGTCAGGATATTTCATATGGTCAGTTATGCAATACCGCACATATGGTTCACTTAGGGACAGATATTTTTAGTTGGTCAACAGGGATGCTTATAATTTAGCAAAGTGGGTGGAGGGTGAGTAATGTGGAGTCGCTAAAACATGCCAAACGAGCAACATATTGACAGCATCGTAATTTCATGACCTCTAATTTATTGAGTTGATGACAATTCGTGCATGTCAGAAATGCTGAGGAAAAGGCAAACGGCATGTCCTCGATCTGTAACGTGTCAATTACTTCAGCCGCACATTTCCCGCGAA